TACCCGATCACGTGACATAGGGTCAATATTTTGGTCGACACGAATCAGTACGAAGAGAAAAAAGGTGAAAAACACAAGAAACGAGTGCCTAAATCTATCTTGGGGCATGAATAAAAAATGTTCGGGAAGGAAATTTCACTATAAGATATGTCCTAACTCAGCCCCAAACTAACTCTTACAATAACGATAACGATAGTTGTAATTAAATGGTCAGAAACATATGACTGGACACGGCATACGTACGTTACTAAAATCTTATATTTACATTAGTCACCGGATCTTAATTTAAATATATCAATCTGAATCTATTATGCCGAAATTACGAATTGTCCGAATTTATGGTAAAATTTATGCATGATGACGTCCGAAAATATTTTCGGCGTCTGAAAAAATTTTCGGCACCCGGTTTTGCTCACGAATGAGTTCACAACGAAATTTGCTCGAAAAAATGGTAATGGTGGTAGGGTTGTAAACTTACATTATAATTTTGGAATTTTTGCCTAAGTGAACATATAAAAATTGCTATCATAATTTTGAAATTATTGTAAATTTTACAACCCTAGATGGTGGTACTATTATCACAAAATTTCAAGCAATGTTTTAACAAGTTCAATTACTTCAAAATTTATCTTTTAATAGGCACTACACATTCTGAAACTATAAGTTATGGTATGTCTTGATGGGTTTGTGATTTCATTTACGGCTTTGATAATTCTATTACTGAAATGATTATTGATTGTAAAATGTATGCTGATTGTAATATGAAATTTCAACTTATATAGGAGAACGCGGTAGGTTTGTTAAGTGAGAAACCCCGAACTCAAATGGATTTCGCCCAACCGCTAAAACACATAATAGTTTTATAGAAACTGAAAATTGTCGGTGAAAAAAAAGACAAAATTTAATCTTTCTATATAAACTGGATTCGCATTATGCTTTGATATTTTCGTGTAGATTGCGTTCGTTAGGCATCAAATTTTATTCTGTATCCAGACAATAAATAAAAAAAAAATTTTATATTTATATCGCACCCTATAAGATCAGGTGTAATGTGTAATCGTTGTAAGTGGAAATGGAACCATAATAGAGTTCGGAATCCACTTAGATTAGAACAGAATAATTATATTAAAAATCCCAACCTTAACCTTAAAAATTCAGAATCAACCTAAATTCAGTTCCTACCTACGAAATAGTCAAAACAATAACTCAATAGTTTAGGGTTAGATTAAGGTTAGAGTAGAGCGATAATAGAAAGGTTCTAACCCAAAATTTAGCGAAGAATTTTTGTTTTATAAACAAAATTTCGAGTTGAAAAAAATTGTCACGTTATTCCTGATCTTGCATCCTGATTGGCTGACTAAGGAGTAGTGATACATCGTTATGGCGACGAATTACACAAAACCCCATATAAATAATCTTTATCAATATATAAATTTGTATATAATTATGTTATGTCATGCCCACTGGCATGAATTTTTGCTAATGTCATGCGATGTCGAATTTTTAAGCTGTGACAAACATCAGACAAATAAGTTGTTGTTAAACCAGTTACGATATCATACTTTAGTTGTAATTTAAAATATATAAAGCCAACAATAAAATAAGAAGTTGACCTGAAATAAGAAGTTGACCAAAATTGGTTTGTGTGAAATTGAGTTGTACAAACTACTCCGATATGCGCGACATAAAAATTGAAAAAAAAATTTTTTTTTCAATTTTTTTTTCTTTTTGCCTTAGACACAAATGTATTTGCAAAGTTTTTGCATGAAAAAAAAACGAAAACTTATGTAAAAAAATTTCAATTTAATTGTTTTCTTACACTTGCAAATTCATTTTCACATGGAACAATTTTATTGTACAGTCATTATAACTAATATATAAACCATGAGCTCGCAAGGTTCAAACGCAGTGTCGGTAGAACCATCGTACGAATATAAACGACCTATATTACCACCAAAACATCGTTATATGTCAAACTACCTTAATATACCGCATGTAGATGCCGAATCTTCAACTGCTAATGGTAACATTGGTGCATATGAAAATGGTCTTATGGAGAGCCCCATTCTTTCAAATGGAGATATTACGAACGCTGGCGGTATAATTCTTCCTGTAAATCCACCAGACGATGATATATTTACTGATAGTCAAACAGACCCTTTTCTTTTGGTATCATTAAGACAAAAACCACCTCCAAGACCAAAATTTGAATTTTTATTATATTTATTTGGTATCTTGGATATTGCTATTGTTTTTATTTGTTCTTATTTTTCAATTTATAATGCTGAAACTGGTTGGCATTGGAATAGAGCTGATTGGGATATGATCATATTAGCTCTTTTTAGATTCATTGTTGTGTTAAAAGTATCTTCTTCCACTTGGATCAGTAAATCGCGATACTTGCTGGGTGGCGCTTGTTGTGTAAGTTATATTGTGTGTTTCTACTATTGTTTTATTAATACTAAATTCATATATATATATTTTTTTTCTATTCATATTACTATCAGATTTCTTCATTGTATATAATTTTTAAAGCAAATCTCATTTTTCAACACAAACGTTCAACCCAAGGATATGATCTTATTTTAATCGCTTCATCCTTCTTCTTCCTTCAATTGCATTGGATAGCTAACGTCATCATCACGACTGATACTAAATATCGTGACTTATTCTTACGTACAAACACTATTGTCTTTGAAGAAGAAAGTAACGATTTTAGTGATGAATTACCTGAAGAACATGATAACATCTCTCGAAATGATACACCATCCTCTTTACCGTATTATGGTGCAACCGATAATTATAATAGCACTTCTGTTGATAAAGGTGCACGCATTTAACTCAAAAACTTTATCCGATATTCGTACGATTTAGCTAAATTGATGACATGATACAAACACAATGAATTCTTATTTGTTATTTTTATATTATTTGTACAAAAGATGTTTATATTTCCATATAATCATAAGAAATTACGTATAAATTTTAACACATCCTGATCACTATTTCTTGTTAAATGAAAAAAAAATACATGAATTATTGAATATGATATAATATTGTATAAATAATAATTACATTTCTGCAAATATAAATGTGGAATATTTAAATATAAATCTAAAATTCTTAGATTTCATAAAAAGCCTAATAACTTTTTAACTCTTTTCTTTTTTATCATCCTTATAACCTTCTTTAGGGCCATCGTATGCTAAATAATAAATTTATTTTATTAGTACAAATTACTATTTAACATTCATACTGTATTTAATGGTATTTTGATCGCTAACCTGGAGGTGCATCATCGGGAAGCATGAATCCACCAACAAATGATCCTTGTTGCCCGTAAGGTTGCTGTTGCTGATAACCTGATGCTTGATAGCCTGAAGGTGGTCCTTGCTGTCCATAAATGGGTTGTTGCTGATAGCCGTATGGCGTTTGACCCGGATTATAAAACTGTTGTTGACCTTGATAGAACGGTTGTGGACTATAATTTCCATATGGTGCTTGGTACATATATCCACTACCAGATGGTGGCGGTTGTTGTCCGCCAGCTTGGAATGGTGGAACATGTGGTCCAATCAGAGGATCTGAAGAAGCCTCATCAGCTGATTTACTACGATTACCTGGATCTGAGAGCGGCTTTGTAGCATTTGCGCTAATTGCTAAATTAGCAAGTTGATCCTTTATACCGGAAATTTCGCTCTCTAATTTACCAACTTTATCCTCTTTTTGTTCAATTGTGGTAGAATTAGATTTGATAGTTTCCTCTAATTCTTTTACAACTTGACTTAGCTTTCCTTTTTCACTTGCAACGCCACTGATATCAGTTTGAAGTTTATTAATAATTGAATCACGTTCTCTCAGTGCAACCTCAAATTCTTGTTTCGTAGACAATAAAGCATTATATTGCTTAAGTTGCTCATCATATTGTTTCCTTTGAGCATCTAATGCAGCAGTCAATTCGTTCATTTTTGTCTCTGAAGATTGAGAATGGTCTCTTATTTTTGTCTCATATTGCTCTCTTTGAGTTTCTAAAGAAGTGTTAGACTCTTTAATTTTCAGTTCAAACGTTTCCCTTTCTGTGGCTAAGGCTGCAGATAAATCGTTAAGTTGTGCCTCATAACCTTCTTTTTGGGCGGCTAAAGAGGCGATAAGATCGTTGATTTGTGTCTCGTATTCATGTTTCTGATTTTCAAATTTACTAGAAAATTCACTAATTTGTTTATCATGCTCTTCTTTCAAAGCATTCATTGAGCTAGTAATTTGTTGGATCTTTTGTTCATATTCTTCTTTTTGAGCAGCCAACGCCGCAGGAGCGGTATTGGTTAAGGCAGGCAAAAGAGCGTGAATGTTTTGGGATGATGATTGCCAGCGGAGCAAGGCGACTTGACAATCTTTGACTGTTTGTTGGGTGCTTTCCCTTCCTATTTTGTATTCATTTTGTTATTTATAATGATAACAGTAATAATAGATTTCAGGAAAATCGTGAAAAACTAACCTTTATATTCTGGTCTTTTCTCACCAGTTTTGCATGGCGTAGTATCAATTTGATTAACAATATCCAATCCAAAACCAGTAACAATTGCAACTAAAGTATGATATCGTAACTGGTTTAACAACAACTTATTTGTCTGATGTTTGTCACAGCTTAAAAATTCG